TTTTTTTAACTGAAATCCTAAATCAAACCAACAGCTCTCATTTCCAAGTGTCTAGTGGGTCAGAGTATCAAGAGTAATATGATGCGGGGAGAGGAAAAGCAATACTTGAAGAGAATGAAGTAGAATAGGACTAAGAAGGAGTGTTTCATGAGCTCTTTGCCACTTCCTCAAAAACAAGTGTGTATGTTATGCCCCTGCTTCATGTGGCTCTGCTGAGCCTGTCTTTTCTGTAAGCCTAAATATTCCCAATGTTCCCCAGGTGTTTGCTGTTTCATTTTCCCTCTTAAGACTTGTACTTATCTAGACAGTGCTTGCTAATGCTGCTAGGCAAAGCCAGATTGGCAGGGTGAAAAATAAAAGTAGAGTCTTGTGTTGTCTCAAAACCCAAAGATAGCTCGAATGCTCTCTTCAGAGTGTACTTGATGATAGTCTTCATCTTTCACTTAATCAAGGCCAATTAATTCTGAAACATATCCTCAATGAAGAGGGGAGTGCGAATGAGTTAGGACAGCAAGTCTGAGACATCAGCATAATGGTAACCAAATAAGGAGAACACAAAGCTGACTGGCTCTATCTTTTATAGTTGAGAGCTCTTATTGTTAAGGTGTAGAACCCAAGGGCTTGTTGGCAGTAGAAATTAGGATATCTTGATGTATGTGGTGTTTTTTTCTTTTCTTTTTTTCTTTTTTGACAGATTGTTTGAAGAACAGCAGTGAAGGGCTATCAAATACTACAATAGAGTTCCTGGACTTATTCAATAAAACACTGATGTGTTTTGAACATAACCTCCAGGTATTTATAGCATGTATTGAAGGTCAGAACTAAGTCCTCTTGTTGTATAGTAAAATCTTATATGTACAGCACAAACTGCAGGGGATGCATACAGGAGAATACAATTCGCAAATGCTTAAGCAGTTTAAGCAGGTAGAATAATTATCTATAAAACGCAGCTGTTTACAATTGAGAACATAAAATGCATTCTAATTGATGTTCACCTTGACTTCATTTTATGTGTAATTACAGTGCTATTGCATATTAGAATTTCTAGATTCACAATAGATGATAATTATATAGCAAGTCACATCATCTCTGCATACAGTAAGTCAACTTTACCTACCCATTGCATTTTGGAATTGTTGTCTTGTGACTTCACAATTCGGGTTTTCAGTTATTTGGTTGCAGTGCCTATTAGCCTGAAAGGGTCAACTACCTGGAAACAATTTTAAGAAGATTTTTTTTTTTTTTAACTAGAAGGTTATAAACGATTAGAATCTTTAAGTATTCCTTTTTGTAAAATAAACTTGAGAATGCCCTTGGAAAATGGCCCATAAGCTCATATTAAGTGCATCAAAGTTAGAGAAATTATGGCAATTTAATCCTAAAATTAAATGAAAATGTTAGACGTTTTCTCTGTAGTTTTATTAAGGAACCATTTGAAAGGAATGGCTCAAAATGTTTCAGATACTTAATATTAAGCATAAATTTCCTGTTGCAGAATAAACATGTACATGTGACATTGCAGCTGAATAACTCATGTTACTGCATGCACCTCGTGTGAGTCGCACACAGCATGTTTTACCAAACTTGTTATACTGTCTTCTGTGGAATATTGGTGGTAGTAAAGCCTTTTTCCCAAGCTGTCATTTCTTTGCAAGTAAAATAACATAGGATTATGGGAAACAGTTTTTTTGCTTTAAAAGTTCTTAAAGTACATTAGCAAACAATTGGGTAATTGTGAACATTGAAACCTCTGGTTGTGATGGGTGTTACAATACCAGACTAAACTATTTATGTCCAGTAGTTCCTGTAGATTCATAGATGTTAGGGTTGGAAGGGACCTCAGTAGGTCATCAAGTCTAACCCCCTGCCCTGGGCAGGAAAGAGTGCTGGGTTCAGACGATCCTAGCTAGATGCTTGTCCAGTCTCCTCTTGAACACCTCCCAGGGTAGGGGAGAGCACCACCGCCCTTGGATTCCAGATTCTGGCATCCCTTACTGTTCTTTCTTAGAAGACGTTCTTTCTAATGTCCAACCTAAATCTGCTCTCTGTCAGTTTGTGGCCATTGTTCCTAGTTACTCCAGGGGGTGCCCTAGTAAGTAGAGCATGTCCTATTCCCTGGTGCCCTCCCCTGATGAATTTATAGGAAGAGAAAAGATCACCTCTCAGCCTTCTCTTGTGAAGGCTGAAGAGATCTAGGTACCTCAGTCTCTCCTCATATGGCCTTGCCTGCAGGCCTCTCACTATATGAGTGGCCCCACTCTGAGCCCTCTCAAGATTCTCCACATCCCTCTTGAAGTGTAGCACCCAAAACTGGACGCAGTGCTCCAACTGCAGCCTAACCATTCCTGGACTTCCCTGTTCAGT